AGAAGTCGCCTCAAGCAAGGTCAGTGTTCTCTCTCTTCGTACTGTACTGTACTTTGTTTCATATTTTTGTGATTTAAAAAAAAATACAAATACTTATGGAAAAATTTGATTCGGGTCGTGACCAGAGTCACGGAACAAATTAAGTTCGTGACCCGAGGTACCACTGTACAACTCAGAGATATTGTTTGAGTTGGGCAGCCCTATAAATTCATTAAATAAATAAACAGTGTCTTTTCACAGAAGGACACACACACACACACACACACACAAATCCTGGGGGGAAGGGAGGTGAAACTGCTTTAAGGAGTTGTAGGCAAGAGCCAGGTTTCCACCTCCACATACTCCAAAGGCCCTTTTTTAAATCAATCTGAAGCACTCCACAATCCTCATAGGAACACCATAATATATGATCACACATACATAACTTGGAAGTAAATTGAACAATCTTAGTATAATTTACAGTTCCATAAATGCATTTAGGATGCTAGTAAAAAGAAGGTTTCTCTCCAAGTTTATATAAATGCAATCACATTTTAAAAAGAAAGTTGAAAATATGACAGTTCATGCAATGTGGGAAAACAGTTTTGTTCAATATTATTAAATACACAATACATATTATGTGCTAAACTGGACTAAGTACTAGGAAAAAGATTTACAATTTGGAAATAGGACATTCTGGCTACAGCTTTCATTTTTCTTGTAAATTCCATCTAGTCCTCTCTATGGTTCAGCATTGCCCCATCCTCATCCAGATAGGTCTCATTTACACAGGCCAAGCAGGTCCACTTGTTCGTTCCTCAGCTACCAAGTTGTGGACGATTAAGGTCTTATTACAAACAAACCTGGCATTAACTAACAGCAGCCTGAAGTAAAGATACCCAGCAATACAGCAGAGGATGTAGGGAACAGGCAACTGATCCTGAAGAGGATGGCACCAGAGTGTCAACTCCATCCCAGGACCACCCATCAAATCTCCCTCTGCCAGTCACTGCGGTAATTTGCCTCCTGTCCCATGACCCACCTGAAGTATCCTCAATCCAACCCACATCCCCAAGTGCTGAAACATCCTTCCAATCAAGCTCACTCCTCACTGTCAAACATCACTTAGAATTTGGCCTGACTATCAAACTAAATGGCCTTTTCTGCCAGCCTTATTAAACTGTATAGCATGCTCCCAATTCCACAGCTTACTTTATATTACTTGCAAAAATATTTATGGGCTGTATATAAGAATACACAGTTCTTGATATAATAGCATTCCTAATTTGAACTGACCCCTCTTCTATGTTCCTTGACACATGCCCTCTCCACAAATTTCTTTCAGTGGACCCTCCAGGCAGATTTGGAACACATAGGAGGTAGAGTGGAAACTGTTGCATAAAGAGGTGCTGGGTGCAGTCCAGAGTACTTAATCAAGTTTAGCTTAAGACAACTTTAAATATAGAGGCACAGGTAGTCCTCACTTACCAACTATAATTGGGACTGGCAACTCCGTTGCTAAGCAGTGTGGTCAATAAGTGAAACATCACATGGCCATGCCGACTTATAACATCAGTTCTGGCTGCAGTTGTTAAACTAATTACCATGGGTCGTTAAGCGAGCTGTCACGTGACTGTGACTTGGGACTTCCTGCCAGGTTCCCCATTGACTTTGTTGTCAGAAGCTGGCTATGAAGGTTGCAAATGGTGATCAGGTGACCGTGGGATGCTGCAACCACTGTAAATGTGCACCGGTTAGCGAGTGCCTAAATTGCAATCACGTGACTGCGGGAACGCGGCAATGGCCGCAACTTCAAGAATCAGTTGTAAGTCTCCTTTTTCAATGCTGTCATAACTTTGAACAGTCGCTGAACAAATGGTTGGTGAGGACTACCTGTATCACAATATGTGCCTTCTTTACTCCATCTCACCTAGCTTCATCTATCCCCGTGAAATACAACCACTGGAACTCATGTGTGACTTCTCCAAGCCATCAGGCTATAGAGAAAAGGATACAAAATAATTATAAAAATATTTCAAAATGAAATGCACAAACTGCTGTAAACTAAAGTTTCTAAAAAATGCTTCTACATGATTTGAAGTAGATCTTAATTTCTGTTACACTGCTGTTCGTCACACCCTGTCACACATACAATATGGCGTTACAAACTTCAGTTAAATCTAAGTCAGAACAATGCAGAGACTGAAAAAAACACTGCAATTTGGATCACTCAGTGTTTCAGCTATAAGTGAGATGATTCAACAATCTTTATTTTCCCATCTGTGTAGGAAAAAAGCCAATAAAATTATGAGTCTTCAGCAGCAACACAGTTACCCTGCAAACATCTTGCATGTGATTGATGTCTCACTTAGCAGATGTCTTACTGCTTGTTGGACATGACAGGACATATTTTATTGGTCTATTAATATATGCCTTTGATGTTTGTGATAAAAAGGGTTAGAATAAATGGACCCATAAAATATATCTTATTTTATTCAAATTCCACAGTAAGCCATGTTTAAAGAGGGCTCCATCCGTCCATCACAAAATATAACTTAAGAAGAAAATTAAATGTGAAAGGAGAAAGAAAAATAAAATGAAGATAGATAATAAGATAGTATAACTCTCCCTGATTACACTGTTATTTAGAGGTAAACTTCAGCTTCAAGCTGATCTTCCTTCTATTATGTCTGTCTTTTACCATGCAATCTTTTCTCCATTCTTTTTCAGACAATCACAGAAACACATTAAGAAACTCTAGCTTTGACAGGTACTATAAAGACAAAAGTATCTTATTTAGAACTTCCAAAGAGACATATATTTTCCTAAAAGTTTAAGAAAAGCAGGTATCTTCCTTGTGTCTGGTTTAATTCTTATTACTGCTATGACAGTAATAAGAAAAAAACCCTTGCACTGAAAAAAAGAGGGGGGGGGCTGTTGTTTGGTGTAGGGTGCATTCTTTGCATGTAGTAGGTCTATGTTCCCTCCTGATATTTCAGAGCAGGGCTGCTCAAGACTTCTCTGAAACTCTGGGAACTTGTATTGTACATATTGGATTGTATATTGTATTGTACAATATATAATATTGTACTGTATACAACATGCAAATCCAACCACTATGGCTTATAAAGCTATCAAGCCCTAATGTGTTGTACAAACAATGGTTTGAAAGTCCTGACCAAACATTATGTATAATCTAGGCCACAGCTCTACACATGAGCCTATAGTTGTACCCTTATTATAGAAAGGAAGCTGATTAATGTCAATTTATGTCTAATGAAAAATGATATGGAACGTTAGTACAGACTTTACCACACCACAAAACTGCAGGGATCCTGCCAAGCAGCTGATCAATGGTATGTTAGGAAAGTGATTTCCAATTCATGGTCTTGCTGCTTCCTCTTTCCTCCCAGTGACCCAGTGCAAGATTGCTTGTTTCCTGAAGTCATTAGTAGTGTAAAACCAGTCAGTCTGAAAGACTTGCTGATACCAATCAGCCTTTGGGCTAAAAAGGATGCTGTCCCCTGCCACATAGCAACCAGAAAGTTCTTCTGTATCATCAAACCTGCTGCATTCTAACTTTTGTGAAATACAAATTAACTCTTTTTTCAATCTTAAGGCCACATACCACGTAATTACAGCAATTTAAATTTTTATTGGCACAGACCCAAACAACACCACTGTATTTTGCCTTTCTATATTGGCTATAGTTTGTTTGCAAGCATAATTCAAAGTGATGCTACTAACTGATACTAAGTGATTTGGGGCCAGCACTCCACATATAGAAGGACAATTTTTTTCCCCTTCAAAGCAAAAGTTCAAATCTGTATCTTTATTGTCTGTCTTCCAGTAAAACAAAAAAGTTGCATTTAAATTATTGGGGTCAACTGTATCCCTCCAATACTAAAAATCTATGTGAGTGGCACGTGGAGTCAAACCAGTTCCTATTAACAGGCATAAAACTATTATAACAGCTGTAAACTATAGCAGTGAAATAATAATGGGTTGGGAATTAGCTTTCCCAGTCCTGAACATTTAACAACTGTATAAAAAGGTCACTCAAAATACTATATGACGTACAGAGTTGCTGCAGTGTTCTGGCCCTTTCAGTAATAAGGCTACTGTCTTGATGTTCAAGGTAAGCCAAGTTATGTATATAGACTCAGCCCAGAGTTTGAATAGGAAGAAACAACATCTGTGATGTTAATGCTATGGCAAATGATTCAGCTTCCAAACAATACAGGCATTTAAATGGCAGTATATTACAGTTAAAATATGATTAAAACACAAACATAAATGCACCATTATATGACACCGTTTGGAACTGGAAATGGAGACTTATCAAAAACATCCAATCATGTTTAATTTCTGAATGATCTCAAGAGTGGAATTCTTTTGTGAGTGTTGCATTATTATGCACTGAATAAAGGAGAATTAGGTTTTTTTTAACACTTAACAATGATAAAATCTTACTAATGGCCAAAAATTTGCTGTTGATAACTTCTGGATATCAGAAGTTATCAAAGGACTCTTTGCTCCTTTGATATCAGAAGATATCAAAGGACTCTAAGAACATTTCTGGATTCTTATTTGTTTTCAATGTGCCAACCCAGAGTTGACAGTAATTTTCTAGTATATTATATTAATAAACAGGTTAGGAACTCCTGCATTTTGTTTGGAACTTCTAACTAATTGATTCATTTCTCTGGGCTAACTTATCTAAGGTAGTGGAGGAAGCGGTTCTTTCTTTTCTTCATTGCCAGTCACTGAGAAATCAAGTCTGCCAATTTTCATATTCCATCTCCCTTCATCTCAGTTTCTGCTTCAATAGCACATTCAATGTACTGAACCCTGTCTACCCACCTACCCCACTTATCCTCTCTGGGTCCTTTCCTCTCCACTACTATCAGCCTCGATAGTACGTTAGAAGAAGCAGAAACAAAGCAAAAAGGAGGTTTGGTTAGAGAAACATGGCTTCTAAGAAATATAAGTGGCTAGATTTTACAATCTGAGAGCTGCAGATAAGATTTTGAAACTACACTGTTTCAGACAAAAAATAGGCCAATTAAATATCTGAATTCTTCTTCACATAATATTTATAAATACAAAATATACCAAGAAAAAGAAAAGGAGCATTTTATACATTAGATCATCTGATTGACAGAGTATTATGCTCTGAAATGGTATGCACTAGTAATCGTAACATCAAGGGAAGTTTTGGTTCAGATTATGTTATTTTTTACCATAAGAGGAAGAATGTGATTTAAACACAAGTACATTCGTGAATCATAGATTTACCTTTATCAAGCTTGAATTTTCGTAATAGATTCCTTGTGCTAATTCACCAATGGCACTTGACATCATCTCTACCACCTGAAAGAAAAAGAACAAGTTTTAAGCAAGATAATTACACAGTTACTAGAGGATTCTAAACTAAGAGTGCAGGGAGGCTTAAATAAAAAAGGATCTGTATCCTGAAGGCATGTTATGTGCTTTTTTAAAAAAACTACATCTCAAGTTAGTTTTTAAAAAGCAAAGCAATGTTTTTATTTATTAAAGTAGGGGTTTTCAAATTGTGGGTTGGGACCCTCAGGGGATTGTGAAGTTTATTTTTGAAAAAAACTAAATCAGGCTTTGTGCAGGCAAAATGGGAACATTGTCAAAACTCACTCTATAGTTTGTTCCTTATTTTGCCTGAATAAGCCTAAAGTGGGCAGCTGCTGTATTACAAGTCTCTATGATATATAGATTAAAATTTAATTATTAAAAACAGCATATTTATTTCTTGTCTAAACATAACACCAATAAAATATTAGTTTTATTCATGGGGGAGAGTCACATAAATTCATCTATCATTTTACAGGGTCATGGTACTATAAAGTTTGAAAACCACCATATTAAAATATAAATTAAATATAAATTAAATAAGCTACCAGGCACATATAGATTATAATAACCTTCTGGGAACTATTAAAAATTCAGCCTGCTATGCCTAATGCATTTGTTTTAAGTCCAAAGCAGTTAATCTTTATAATTCATTTCATACACTGGACACACACTGTACTTGTATTTAGAAGTCTGTCCCAGGAAAAACAGTAACTTGGGCATAGAAACTTTTGCCAACGTGGAATTGTTATTTAGCAAACTATTATCATTAAGGTTCTCGTCTGTTCCCATTAAAAAACTGAACAGAATCCAAAATATAAAACCAACCATAGTTCCAGTGATATTACGGACCCACTGGAATTAGTGTAAGAAATCGGAGCTCTGAGCACGAACCTCCTTTGTTAGAATAGTACTGGAGGATTTAGAAGAATATATTCAATATAGGCCTACCTTACGGCTATTCTCCCTGCTACAGATTTATTCTTCCATGATTAATTTCCTAGGTACATGGGTTTGTATCAAATTCTCCCTCTCCCTTCCCTAAAATTGTGTCCATTTATTATTGAATTAAGTGGATTTAGTTTCAGGTTTTTACCATTCTTGTAACTGAAGTCAGTAAGGCAAATAAAGGTCCAAAAGTAACGTCTATAAACCTCTTAACATTCTTAATGACCATTATAGCTTTATTTGTAAGCCTTCCCCCAACCCTATTATGTTTAGATTAAAATCCTATATACCCTGGGCATGGAAGTAAACCACACTGAGCATTATATGCTTTACTTCTGAGTAAACATGCACAGCAGCGTGCTTTTGATCTCTTACACAAACATGCTTATCAAGACACCTTTGCAAATGGAACCAATTCATCTTTTTTTTAAATGATGCACAGGAATTAATTTCTAAATCTATTTAAGAACAGCCTCCTTTTCAGAGAGAAAATCCGTCTTGCCCTTTCAGTAATCAGATACTTAAGGAAATATTGTAGCAAACTGAGCTGCAGGAGAACTGAAAGGACAATGATCCTACAGTGTTAACCCAGATGTGTTGAGTTATTTAAGTGGGGAACAGAGAAAATGAGGGACTTTTTGGGAAGGTATCAGATAAGCCTTATGCCCAAATCCAGGAGGATTGTGTATCGCCAATAGGTCTATGAAAGCCTGTAACCAAACACTCAGTGTCAGATTGTATTACGGTTTATACAAGCAACATCTCAAGATTCCTCTGATGGCCGAGACACATAATACAGATCAATCACTCACTAAAAAATATTATGGTTTGTGAAACGGTTGGAGCCCAGAGACATGGCAGTAATATGAAGAAGAATTTACAAAGACACTGAGTCCTACCTCTAAATGTCAAAGTGATAGTATGAGCTTTAACAATGCACCTAGCTGTGATTAGCAGAACTCCCCCTTCTCTGAAACTCTAGACAGAACTGAACCCAGAGAAAGATCCTTTACTTTAATCCACACACATGGAAGCAAATTCCATGCTATAGTGATTTGGAGAGAATAAATTTGTAGAAGAATCTAGGAGAATCTATTTTTTTAAAATTTTATTATGCCTTTCTATATTTTTATTATGCCTTTCTATATATTCTTTATTATGCATTTCCATAAAATGCCAAAGCCACCACTTTATTAACTTCACTGGCAAGCCAGATACTAAATGATAAACTATGTCTTAAACCATAAGCGCCCTTATTTTGTTTGGCAAGTGCTTTCAGCTAAGACTATGTTATCTTTGTCCTCCCCAAATTTATCCCCGTACAAAGCACTCTCTAAAGTGAAGTCAGGTACCTTTTTTGGTGTTGGGGCAAGAAATTATATATTATTTAGAGGCCTGGTGTTTAAGATGTAATACAAGAACTACCCTGGCCTTGGTTCAATTTCTGGATGAATTACCTCTGGAAATGGGTGATAACTCAGTGATAGAGCATATTATTTGCATGCTAAAAGATCACAGGTCTAGTCCCAGGCTTCTCCAGTGCCTGAGAAGAACTCCCCTGTGAATTATCAAAGACTTGCTGCCTGTCAAAGTGGACAATGCTAAACTTTACTAGTTGGTTTCAGTACACAGGATTAGCTTAGGCTACAAGAATTTTCCCATTTTTACTTTCAGGATAAAACAAATTGTTGACAAATATATGCATATCAGAAAAAAATCTTGGAAGCATTTTAGGATGATATAAATTTGTTCTGGGCCTAAGGTAAGTTAACCCAAGGTAAGTTGAATCACACTGTTGGGTGATTCTATAATACCACCATTATGCGGGAACACACATAAATCTGCTTTTGAAGCTGCACATTTTAGATGATGATAGATAATTCTGGACAAACTGGTTTTAGGGAATAATTACTTAACTTTTTATGGAGGAATCCTCAGTGAGTCCTGTTGAGTTTTGTGGTTCCTCCTCCCGGGTAAGTTCACTTTGAACTTCAAATGGTGTCAGTGGGCATGCAAGTCCCATCTTCTCCCATTAGAGGGAGGGGAAGCATCTGCAGTGAAGAGCCTTTCGATCCATAGACTGGAGATGCTCCACTGACTGAGAATCCTGATCTTTCTGTATCTCTATTCATATGGACAGCCTTCAGGGATAAACAGGGTTCTCTACTGCAGACTCATCCACTCTACATGTAGAAGACAAGGCCCAGCATACCATCCTCCTCATTCCCTGAAATGATCATAGCAGCTTCTTCCTCTGACTTCCTTCTGTTTCAACCACTGGCTTTCATTATTTGCACCTCTTACACTTTGTTTGATTCTTTTTTTGGTTAAACATGGACAATTATTTTAGCAACTGCTTTACTAACCTTCCGTGTTTTCTTACTCTAGAGGTAATTGTAACTTCTTTTAAAGTTAAACTGGAAAAAAAGCAAAATTTATCTTTTGTATCAGTGATCATTCCTGGTAAATCAACCATCTGTTAAGAAAGTTTACAACTGTAAACTGCCCACACTTGCTAGGAGTCGGGCAGCTTGCTCATTCATTTACACTTAGCAACCACAATAGGGACCAGAAAATTCATCATTAAGTGAAGCATCACATGACTGTAGCTAATTTTACATCATTTTTTGTAGGGGTCAGTTAGTCAAACACACAGTCATTAAGTGAATCATGCAGTTCCCCATTGATTTTGCTTGCCAGAAGCCAGCTGGGAAGATTGCAAATGGCGATCACATGACTCTGAGATGCTGCAACCATTGTAAGTGTGAGCTGGTTGCCAAGCACCTGGATCATGATCACATGATCATGGATGGGCTACAATGGTTGTAAGTGTGAGGACCAGTCATAAGTAGCTTTTAGCGCTGTTGTAACTTCGAACAGTGGTTAACTGAGGACTACCTGTAGTGCTTTCAAGTCAGTGTTGACTCCTGGCAACAGCCTGAGAGAGAGGGACTGGCCTAAAGTCATCCAGCTGGCTTTGTGCCTAAGGTGGGACTAGAAATCACAGTCTCCCAGTTTCTAGCCTGGTGCCTTCACCGCACCAAACTTGCTATGTATATATTTAATAAATTATATATAATTTATATAATTATATAAATGATGTGTTCATTAGATACTCCTAATAGTGTATAATTGAGTCAAGAATTAAGTCATGTTATAACAAAACTGTAAATGGCACTGCAGAGATGAATACTTTATAACTACTAGTTTATGTTTTTTTTATTATTTTAGCATCCTATTTTTTAAAATTTTTTTAAGACTCTGACACACATTCCTAGGTTGTAATTCCAAAAGGGAATGGTCTCTTTAAGTTTAAACTACTAAAGATCATTCACAAAAGGTAGACATAAATCAACTGGAGGATATTCAAATCTACAAACTGCTCCCTGATCCAGAGAAGGTTAACTTATGGATTGTGTACAAAATGTCTTAAAGCCAGTAATCCATGGCTCAAAATGTCTGAAAATACACCCTGAAAACAAAACCGTTCCTTTTACTATTTGTTTTGCCCACATCCAAGTTCCCTGGTCATAAGTAAATGCAAGAAAAAAACCTTCACAATGACATCTGTCCGGCACAATAGTTTTCAGCCTTCTTGGAAATAGAGAATTTGATATGTGCCCATATCCATATTGGTAATGCAGTTCAAGGCAGTAATGTATCAGATATTCAGTAAGCATGTGAATTATAAGATTAGTATTAAACTGCTGAAATAAATACTGCCTTATGTCTAACGATTTTCCAGGAAGTTTCATCTACCTAAAGACTTTTTTTTTCCTACCATTACTTCCTATCATGGCAATATAAGTTCTACTCTAGGGGCCAATGAAGTAAATCAAGACTAATGTTTTCCATTAGCAGATAGAAAGTATGTTATGTAAATAAACTCACTAGGTAAAACCAAAGCTTGCTTAATACAGATCAGTTTCATGAAAACACACTTTTCAGTACAGAAGCAGTGTTTAAGGAGTTGCAAAAGGGAAATATCTTCCCATCAATGCATGTTTTGTATCATATACACAGATTACAATCTGCATGGG